CGTTTACTAGATATGTGTTAGCCTTGTATATATAAGACGGTCACAACGTGACGGGACAGTGAATGAGTAATTGAACTGTAGTCAGAGAGAATATTGTTGAGCACGTGAGAAGTTCGTTGTGAATTATAGCGTTTGTTATAGAGCGACTGTTGAAATTAAGTGTATTGCAAAGTTGTATTCAAAGAGAATAAACCAGTTTTATTTAAGAAAGAACTTGTATCAGTAAAGTTCTACCTGCTATGTCCACAGTGGGGAATCGAGCTCTGGATTTTTAGCAAGATTCTTAAGAGCATAATACTTGTAAAGTTTAAACTTAAAAAGCAAGAACTTGGTTCTGTAATTTTCCGTTAAATTCAGTTATTTTTGAGAGTTGAAAAAGTGAAACCAAAGGGCTGATTAATTTTAAATTTAAAGTTTTAATTTTTATCTCTATTCGCAATTTTTACTCCAAATAATTGAATGCTTCCAATTTATTTATCAAAAAAAAAGAGGGATGAAATATTCCATTTATATTATTGGGATCAGTTGTAAGTGTAATCTACATGTTTTATTGGTTTTATCCTAGAAATTTGATGATTCCTTTTCTAAGATTGACATATAATGTACATTGTTTAAACTCACGATTGAAAAACAAAAAACCGCACATTTAGCTAGTGTAAAATAATGAATGATATCTATAAGTAGCATAATTACTTAATCTTTTTTTGTTGTTGTTGTTGTTGAAGTATAATAAGATTAAACATGAGCTATATTTCTTTCTTGTCACACAGATTATCTGTTCATCAACATTATAAGGCCTTGACATCGCCAGTCTACAATGCTTACTTATTGATTTTATAATAGGAAAATCGGAAGTCTCAAGATAAGTCAAAATGTCTTTAAAGCCCAAATTGTATTACTTGTAATTTCTAATAATTTTAAAAACAAAATTCAAAATTTTGAAGGAGGGACCAGTCGTATGTACTATTGTAATTTAGTTTTACGTAAGAAATTTTAAGCTGAACAGTAACTTCAGTTGCTTCTATAATGAATTACCATTCGTTTTTTAAATTAAAATAAATAAAGTTCGCTCATTTTTCGTGACCTTTTTGTTACCCGAATTTATATAACCAAAAATTAATTAGAGGTTACGCTATTGTCAAATAGTTTAAAAAAAACAGCTGCTTGGTTTTTGCCTATGATAAGTATGACTAATTACTTCCGTGACATTGCTTATTAATTCCTATTTTTGAGTATTTTATCTTTGAACTCACTAGAACTTTTATGGGCCCGGCATGGCCAGGTGGTTAGGGCACTCGGCTCGCAATCTTATAATGTTATAATGTGACGCTCAATTCAATTTTTCCTTAAGAAAGGGTAACTCAATAAATGGCAGTTGGCGATGTTGACTAGCTGCCTTCTCTCTAGTTTATGGCATCTAAATTAGGAACGGCTAGCATAGATAACTCGCGAGTAGCTTTTCGCAAAATTCTGACAAACAAAAAACATGCCATGCAGTTATTAATCGCCCTACAGCCAATGAAACGATAAAAACCCTATAACCTGAGAGCTTTCGAAAAGTGGACCTTCTTTCTTCAGTGGCAAACTAGCGCTTGGGTTATCAGGTTTTTATCGTTTTATATTAAGACTTTATGAACCAACGTGTTTTTCTGACATCTTTAATAAGCATGACTTGGTCTAGTATTGAGCAATTGTAAAGTTATGTTTCTCTGGTCGTTTGTGAAGCACTTTTAAATTAGTGCAACTGTTTAATGTGGCGCAGTATACAGTGGTGTCATAAAGTACAAAAACCTCAGTCATATGTTTCTACTAATGAAATAATTGGTATTCTAGTCAATTTCCATTCATATTTATATGTGACTCATATTAACATATCACACGAATTTCTGACATTGTTTTACATTAACATGATGCAAACTATGAATTTTTGGATTCACAGTCTGGGCATGTTAACCAAAAGGCTATTCTCGTACCAAGAATATACATAGAAATACTTAGTGTGAAATAAATAAGTAAAATAATTACAGAAAATTATAAAATAAAATAAGCCCATTCGCTTTTTTCATCTTATTTTTATTTCATTATTATTATTAGATTACTCCATGTTTTTTCATGGCATACACAAATCATTCAATATTTTACATTATATGCTTGGTAAAAAGTTTAATATAAAATTTAATTTTTATACTGATATGAAGTACATGTTTTTTTGTCTTATTGTTGTTGTTGCTTTTTCATAAAATTTATATTTATATTAATAATTGTTTTTCTACCGTTAGATGGCAATAACCTTTTTGTGGTCAAGATGGCGGTATCTTACAACAAAGCAAAAGTTCCTGTTATTGTTCTTGATAGCGATTCCGAAGAAGAACGAATTATTCAAGTAAATCTGTTGTATTTCTTAAATGATTAAATTAAAATAACAAAGCGATTGTAAATTTTTTGTTCAAAATTTAAATTGTTTTCAAAAACAATTAGATTAAATTGACTTGAAGTTAGTCTTAGTGTTACCTTATTAATACTGTAGTCTCTATCCCAAATATCGGACCTTTATTCTTTCTTCAAACACATTTTAACTTCACACATTGTATAACGGCGTTGTATTACTATTACTGTTAGTACAACGGTAAGTGACAAATTGTATAAAAAAAAGATTACCTAAACTGATATTTGGCCTAGATATTACTCGTATTATTCGATTTATTGTTAATGTTGTATTGCCATTTGACAATATGTTTTTGTTAATGATAATATTGCAATTGTACAGTTTACGGAATGGTATTATGCTACTTGGGGCAAGATAGTATTAACGCCTAGGGAGTTTCCATCGATACGGAAACCTATCTCTCTAATCTAGGGCTAGGCTATTCTTATGTAAAGTCTGGTCACGTGACAATTTGACCCTGCATTTCGTAATATTGTGGCTCCCAAATTCAAAGTTAGCGTCACTATTTATTTCCCATTTCAAAGAATAAGAAAAGTCTATTGAAAGATAAGGTTTTTATATAGACTTTATTTCTACTATTTACACTGAAAAAAACCCAGCATATATATAATTCATTAATATTCCAACTTCCCAATTTCTAAACTACTTATTAATTTTACAAAAAAATGAATAAACTTGTTAGATACAGCATAGAAATATATCTTGCTAAACCTACTTGTACTACTTACATGGAAACAAAATATTTTGTAATGGCATAACAGTATACAAATAACTCAAACATGATGATTATCTCTGTTATTTACTATTCACACAGAAATTATTTTGAATCAATGATGATGGGGAAGTTTTGATGATGTAGTTATTACATGACCAGTTTCTCTACAGATAGCTTAGATTGATGGGATGCAGTTTCATATCAGTAATCATCTCTTACGGACTAATGAGGCAGTTGTTTTTCTTTGCTCTTTTTGTTTAGAAATATTCCTTGTCAAGAGTATGATTTATCAATTTCATGGATAAAAACACTAGCTTATTTCGTTTGATTTGTAAATGTGTGAATTTTTTAAAAATATATAAGGATTATTATTAGAAAATTAATAGGTATACATTAACTGATAAGTATCTCTTATGGAAAAGTTATATAACTTGTGGACAATAAGGGTTCATTTAGACTTTGGTCTTTCAAGACTTTTTGTATACTCATTATTGAGAAAAGTAGAAATTTAAACCCACCCAATAAATCATCAATTCCGACCTTACCTCCTTTTACAAAAGGCTTTCTCGACTTGTACTGCCTTCTATTAGTGCAACTTTTCTCTCACCACTAGCCTTGCTACTCCCACTTGTTACTGCATACAAACATGCAGTAGGATCATGCAGCAAGCTACCACCAATAGGAGTGTGACACTACCTGTATTGTAACTAGTGCTCTCTCTAATCATGCACATGTTAATCACTTCTTGATTGGCAGTCCTACTGGTTAGGTTTGTTTTTCGCTCATGGTTTACTTAACATATCCATGTGCCTTTATTTTCATGAATTTCTACTTCAGTTAATTTGTTATTCTACATTTTTGTCTTGTTTCTTGTAAAGTTACGATTTATTTTATCTTCTCTTTCAAGTTTGTGGGTTATACATTCACAGTTTTGGGTGGTTATGGAATGACTACTCTTACTGCAGCAGTGGAATTACTAACGATGTCCAATGGGTCGAAACAACAATACTCGGCCCATGAAGTGACAACTCTGGTCCATCTAGAGTTGACCAGTTTCATGCAACAATCAGAACATTGTGATGATTATCCTCACAAGGTTTTCAGTGATTGTGAAGTTTTGGATTTGGATAGACGTTTTTCCCTTCCTGAATATGCCCCTCCCCCAGTTACTATGGATGGGATGATCATGTTTTTGATTATCACCATTTCAACTTCCCTTGTTTGGTGTTGCTTCTCCCTTTGTGGGGATCAGACCCCAATTATTCAATTACATTTTCCTGTATTTGTCTTATTCTGACCACCCTTCTATGGTCAGGGGTGGTGGGGCCAGACTACTTCATTTTTGGAGGTCCTTGGGGGTTGATCCATGGGTTCTGCAAGTCATTTCAGTAAGTCTGGTTCTCTACTTCCATTCATCTTCCCTGTTGTTTCACACTCCCATTCCCACCTTTATTACTTTTCTGATCCCGCCCACTTCCTTTACTCAGTCAGGACTTTCCACAGGTATGACATGTATTGCTCCCTTCTGTGCTTCCTGAGTCTGTTTGTTTCTTCCATGAAATCTTTATTCTTCCCATGACCCTTTTCCTATTACCCTTCTGTATTGAGATCACTTGGCATTTTCTTTCCTTTTTTCCTGACAATTTTCACCTTTTTCATGATTTCTTCCCATCAGATCCATCACCTTACCATGTCCCATGCTGCACATTTCCACCTTCCCTTGGGAGACATCATCAGTGCTGTAACTGTTTGTCTGTGGTGGTAAGTACTTGGTTCTTTTTTCTTTGCAGGAGCCTTTAACACATATTTGGATCCCACTCTGTAGCTAGTGTTGCCTGATCAGGTATACTTACTCTTTAAATCTACACTGTATAACATGTGAGCATGCTAGATGACTGTGACATTGAGCTTCTTCCTACCGCAGACCTTATGTACCATTCCATATGCTGCCACGTGTTGGTTGATTGACTCCTTCAACATATTCTATATGCTTTCAAAATACAATATTATAATACTTGTCTAAGTCATATTATGCTCACCATTTGAGATGGGATATTCTGCAGGACCGCTCGTAGGTATACCTTTTAGTGTTTTGCTTAATAAATATGTTTGTCCCGGATTGTATAGTCCTGTACTAATATGAGTAAAGCAGACAGAGATTACTACCCATCTCCGATTATCCATGGTATTTGAGGCTCTTCCTACTCTGGACATGATGTACAATTCCATATGTTGCCAGGTGTTGGGCAATGTACTCTGTAAACTTGATCATTCTGCTTTTCAAAATAAGGTATTGCGGTCACCTATTGCATTGTCTCTGGTGCTGCAATCCTCCGGACTCTCCAACGCACTTCCCCTCCCCTTCTTTTAGTGGAACATGAGAGTCCTAGCTGCTGGGATGGTCGACCATGGAGGCCTGTCCTCTTGGGTGTGCACAGTTCCACTCAGTTTGAGAGTAGTGTGGTGGTGGCATTCTGCAGGCATCAGTGGTGTGATGCCCTTCCTACTGTGGACTTGATGTACAATTCCAGATGCTGCCAGGTTTTGGATGAAGAACTCTGCCATATATATATTGCAGTTTGCCTCTCTGGCTGAGAAACCCTCCTTCCCACTGTTCTCCAGATGTTGGTTCTCATGGATTGGATGCTGGTTGGAGATGAATCAGCCAAATAAGTCCTCACATGTGTTTCACTGGTACCCTCCTCCTAGTGTGACCTGGATGATAAATTCCCAAGGCTGCCAAGTTTTGGACTGGAGATGCAACCCCAAATTTGCAGTCCCACTTTCTACTGTCTGCTGGATTTCAGTTCTTGGTGGATCTGGTGTAAAACTGAACCCACAACTGATGGTCCAAATTTGGGAGCTTGCCATGAAAGTCACAAGGGGCGGACTGATCCGAAGCCCACAGGGAACTAGGCATACCAGTGCTATCACTCAACGAGGCGACAAAACACAGTGTAAAACCAAACATAAGGAGATGGGGGTAAAAGCAAGGTAGAGAGGTAGAAACAAGCAATAAGGAAGGACGTGGGTCAAAATAACTATGGCAAAAGATAAAGCATCACACACCTGAGATATAACCTCTGATAAAGCCAACAAGTGCTGAACAGAATCCTCAGGAAGGTGTGGGAAGGCACAGTGAACTCCGGGGTGTGAAAGAAAATCAAAATTTTGTCAGCCTGCACCTGTACAAGGCTCGAAAAGTACAGGAAGAAGAAGGAGACAACGACCATTCCATATAATGCTCCATCTCCCGACGAACAAAGGCCGAGAAATCCCCCAACGGGTCGCCCGCACTTGTGGCTGAAAGTGCAGTAACAGATGAGTGATATACACCCAAAGTGATAACAGCAACTTCAGAATTCATGCTAGATACTAAAGAAGCTAAAAATGCATAGCAAACACAGGTAAATCAAAAGCTCTCAAATAAAAGAGAAATGAAATGAAGTTGAACTAAGTTAAATAAAGTTAAACTACTTCTAGGATTAATCAGTGGTCTAAAGAAAGATGTCTACATTTGAGCATTGCCAAATGAGAAGTGATAGTTCGGTAGTGGTGCATAGAGGGAGTCACGTGCATCACATGATAGTAGTGCTATCCTATTGGTGGAGATTTGATGCATTATGATTTGCATGAGAGACATGCTAGAACTTTGGATTCCAACAGAGGGATGTAGAAGGCTTGTGGCATGTGTAAAGAAAAAAGTTTGCATATAAAGGGCAGCACAAAACAAGAAATGCTAATCTTGTGAGAAGAGGGAAGTACCTATTGGAAATACATTTTTGTATAGGAAAATTATAACTTCCCAATGTTGCCAGATTTTGGACTGGAGATGAATACCCACCTGTGCTCTTCTCTTTCCTACAATCTGCTGGATGTCAGTTCTTGGTGAATCTGGTGTTGGAGGTGCACACATGCAGAGATGGGTTTTTGGTATAGGAGTTCCTCTTCCCTGCCAGTACCCATTTTTTAGATGAAAGGTAGATGACCCTCTTCCCACCATGGACCTTATGTACCATTCCAAATGCTATCAGGTGTTGGTTTAGGTCAAACTCCCATTTATGGTCTGTTGCACCCTAGCCACTACACTAGGAGGTCCCATTATTTTTGTATTTTTTTTTGGGACCCCTTCAAATTCCCACCATTTACATTTTGGCAACACATTTCTAAAAGGCAAAGAGTATACATGGCTCAGAAATGGTGTGGTCTTCCACTGGTGTGTTGTTTTTAATTATTCTCACACCTTGTGGTCTTCCTTTAGGCACTTCCTAAACAGGATCATTTTCTCACCGGCCCTTCACCAGTTCAGTCTGGGATTCTAGCTTTTTGTGAGAAGGAGTAAGATATCATATCATAAGTTAACATTTTCCAAAAATGAAGATGTATTTCCAATAGATACTTATCTCCTGTCACATTTCCCACCTGTCCTCCCTCTTCCGGGGTGATTTGGTTTGGTTAGTTTTGACCAATCATTAACATGTGCATGATTAGAGAGGCGTCTAGTTATGATAGATGTAGTGTTGCACTTCTATTGGTGGAGGGTTGTTGCATGATCATTTGCAAGTTAGTATGCTGTAATAAATGGGAGTAGCAAGGCTCTTGCCAAGCAAAAAAATTGTGCCTACAGAGGACAGTGATCAGAGGTAAGTAGCTATCAGAAATACATTTTCAGTTTAGGAACATGTTAATCTCCCCCCTCTTAAACTTTTTAAAGTGATGGCCTCCAGTACTGTCAAAGGTATCTGATTCCACAAGCCATGTACTCTGTTAGAAAAATAAACTGCCATAACTGGAATCTAGCCTTTATTTTCTATTTTGTAAACTTGTGTCATCTTGTATTATCTTCAGAATACAAAGTAAAGTAGCTTATTGATTTTACTCATTTTTGAGGTTCTAGGATGTGCAGTGAATTTACAACATTATTTATATACATATCAAAAATTTATTGGGTATAACTTTCATAAAAAAGTAATTTGTGTTTTTTAACCAGTTAAGCATTTATTTTGTCCATAAATTCAATGTAGATACTTCACAGTCAAATGAAGTGTGTGAAAGTTATCCTCTGTGTGAGAATGTTTGGCATTCATTTCATGATGTTGGCAAATATGTATATCTTATTAGTGTTAAATGTTTTATTATTTACTTATACTCTTACATAGAGAATTATTTTATTATTTCTTACTACACTGAAATATCACACTTAGTCATAAATTATTGATTTTATCTTTAACAATTATTACAACTTTCACTATTCCAATCAAATATTTAAACTAATGTTTTAAGTATGATACATAAATATAAATGCCAAATTGATGATTTTGTACTGATAAAAGTATTTAAACATTTTTTGATATTATTCAGTAACTTTTATTGTTTTATATTTTTGTTGACTAACTTCAACAACTCTGTTTACAATCTTTAGATAGGGTTGAAAATTCATAAGCTAAAAAGAATGAGAACCAAACACTCAAATTATTCAAAGAATAAATTATCATTGGACAAAAACTATAAAGTTCTATATCAACTTTTTTTATATATTTAGAAGAAGAAAAAAGAGGAACACATATTGGTCAAAAGACATTTTGGGATATACTTAAGTAAAATATTAAAAAGAAAGCACAGGCAAAAGAAAAACATATGAATAAATTAAAAAGGAATGAAAAAATGGCCTTTACTTCTAGCTTTAAGCAAATCCTGCTGTCCTTAATCTTTACCTCAGTGTCTTTTGTATTGATCAAACCAGAAATCTTGTTTAGAATGCATGTATTGTCTTCACCCACTGCTGTGTCTTTTTTGTTCCCCCTACATTCGTAGATAATTATTTGTGTACTAGCTGGAGTACCCAACCATTGGATGGGTGAAATAAAAACTCGTTTGTAACAAATGCCCCCCCCCCCCCCCACTATGACCTTCCTCATGTCATCCTGTATCACCTTGTTAAGTTTGGTGCCAATTGATCAAGAAATGTAGAAGTTTAAAGAACAGACACACACACAGACATATTGACATTTATTTATATATATGTTGATATATATCTGTATGTGTGAAAATGTCCATTTTTCGAAGACTTACCATAAATGTATCTTGGGTTCTTGTAATTTATGGAAACTGTAAACTTTTTATTGGGTTGCATGTATTTTCCTTAACTAGGTGTTGAATATTAATTTGTTCCTAATAATGTAATTTTAGTTTTTCTTCAAAAATTAATATCTATAGAGAATAATAGGTTAAACTCTTTATGAAGGTTCAGCTTGAAAATCAAGTTTATTTTAACAGTATGATTCTACTTTACCTGCCCAGCCAAAACTGCTTATAAAAAAAGAAGTATCCAAAGAGAAAGCCAACAGTAAGAAAAATGTGGAAGAATTGGACACTAACAACAAATGTCTTGAAAAGGTAAGCTCTAAGTAAAATTATTTAAAATACCTTTTATCCATGATAGGAAATTAAGAAGTTAAAATGAATATTTTCAGCAGGAAATTATACTACTGGCTAAAAATAAAGTAAACCAGTATTGTGATATTTCTGTAAAAACCCATGTTCAACATTAATGGTTGCTTGAAAAGTATTTTTGGTGTACAAAACTTGAAGATAGCTTTTATATGCGGAAACATATGTTAGCTGAGTTCTTGCACAGATCTTAAGATATAACATTGGTAAATGGAAACATCAGCACATGTAGATATGTAGATCTTGAAAGTCGAGTTGTTAAAAACTTGAAAATAGCATTGATAACTGGACCAATTGTTGGTTGAGATGTTGCAAAGGAAATATCTGGTGAAGCTTTTCCAGAGACACTAACCATAGCAGAACCATCTGGAAAATGATCTATAGGAAATAGCACAGCTTATAAAATGAGTCAAATCAACATAGGCTGGTAAGGCAATCACTGATTGGCATGTCCTTAAGCCAATCAGGAAATGTCAGAGACCTACTGAAGGATGTGTAGATTGTATAGGAATTCTTTTTTGGTGGCAAAGGACAGGTTTATGTGTTTTAATAAAGGTGGCTTCCAAAATATAGAGATGATGGTTGCCTGATTGCCTAGGATAAGTAAAAGCCTGATTCAGACAACTCTTTCCAAATTTGTATGTGTATTTTATGTTGGTGCATAAAATAATAGTAATAATAGACTAATAATTTCTTGACCCTAATACACTTTTGCATTGCATTTGTACATATGATAATGTAAGAAATCAGCTTCTCAGCAAAATATGTTGTTTTATCAGCATGCTATTTTGACTGGCATATGAAAAAGTAGTCTTTTTTTTCATTAAAAATGAATTACATTTAAGGTGTGTTTTATGGTACCACAAAATAATTTCTCTCTGTTGTTCTTTTTGAAAGTAACAATATAACTGTCTTTAAAGTAATAGAGAAATATATTTTTTTTTAAATACAGATTAAATTAACATTTGACAATGAAAAGTGTGCATGTAATAATTACAATAATAGCTATTGTTAGGATATTTTGTGGGAATTTGTGTAGTTATTGGTTTGTTGTTAATAATACCAAATTATGTTCCAAGGATAATTTAAAGATATGCTATGGCCCAAAAGTTCATGTAATAACTAAAAGTTGAAGGTCTTTTGAAACTAGACAGGGTAATAGTAAAAATTTAGACTTTGGGGATAAATCACCTTAAAAATCTTTTGTTTTATATTCTTGGTGATGTGTTGAACAAATGTTCTTGTTCGAATCAGGAACAAGCTTGTTGGTAATGACAAACTAATATATGCTTGTTTGTGGATTGAAAACAGAAAGTTTGTTTAAAATGTTGCCATGTAAAAAAAAATTAAATCAAAACATTTTTATGGTGCTAAAGCTCATTTTATCACCTTCAAATTTTGTTTTAGTTTTTTCATTTGCTGATTTATAATACACATTTCAAAAATGTATTAAATTTTATTATTATTACCAATGTTATCTGAAATAGTATAGTATACAGAATTTCATAAGTATTTTACTTCTTAACTGCTTATTATAGAGAAGCATAAATAGAAAACACAGTTTTGTAATCAGTGTTCTTTTATACATTTTCTCTAAACTCGTGTTGTTTCAAAAAAATTTTTGTGTTGCAAGTTGTATTTTTATATAGTTTATGTATTATATATTTATACAAAAAAAGCAAGTGTCTTAATTGTAGGATAAAATTGTAACAACCCTTGGAACAAAAAACTCATCTTTAATATTCAGTGCTCCTGTATTCCTCAAATATTACTGCTGAACTGTAAGAGAATTCAGTAGTAATAATGGCCAGTCATGTAAATGGCATACTATTATTCACATACCTAATTTAATTTAGGTTACAATATGGTGAGTTAAAAATGATTTAAAATCCATACAAGTATTGCTGTGATAAGACATTTCTTTATGTAACTTCATGACACTTTTTCTCAGTTTTTAAAAAGTAGTTACAAGATATAAAATTCATGTTACATATATCTAAAATTGTTGGAATACTATCATATGAACATTTGTTACAGAAACTAGACTAGATATTAGATCATTATTTTACCCTAAATTTTAATATGTTACTGATATAAAGATAGCAAAGACCTCATCTTTAAGCCATTTGGTAATAATGTGTTTTATAACTGCTGAACTATTTGTAGAACCACTGGCTCCTATCAAAAAATTTGTTTAATTACAATATTGTAAACATGAGTAACTATTTAAAAAATTATGATAACTTCCTCAGTGATTGCACTACATATTTGGTTATGGAAGAATTATGTAAATTTCAATTTTAAAGTAAGTTCTGGCCAATAGAAATAAGTTGCCTGTTATTATTTTAATCATTTTCTTGAATTCTCTTATCATAAAAGTCCAAAATAAGGGTAGAGTGAGCACTGGTTTTATTGAATAAGTACACGAAACAACATATTTTTATGAATAAATATCAACCTATATTTGAACATCTTATATTTTTCTTAATTCTATCATAAGTACAAATAGTGATATTACTGATTTATCTATATTTATGCAGGGGCATAGCCAGCACTACAGGGTTGGAGGGGTCATTTTATTCAAAAATAAATGTGAAAGTTTTCTTCTGTACAAAGGATTCAACTAACTTTCTTCAAAGTTGAGTGTTTATTTTAAAAAATAACCAGAAATTGGGACTTTTGGGTCTTTTGTAGAGTATTGGGGTGGTCATTCTACTCCCTCACTTGGTTATGACCTTATTTATATAAATAATCTATGTTACAGTATATATCAGTTCAATGATTCATTATAACTTATTGGTATATCACTATAGAAACAAATACAAATTCTGTCTTTGTATTTTAATTTTCAAGCACAATTCTTCACATCTTCATTGTCTCCTTTGTTTTGTTATTGTGGATAGATATACTTAAAATAGTTTAGAGAAAATTTGTAATTGTACATTGAATTCTGTTGATAATTGTTCATTTGATGCTATTTTCTTTTGTTTTTACTAGTTCATTGCAGCCTGTACTCCCTTCATGAATGAAAGTAAAGAGTTACAGATCTTACAAAATCTGAAGCATCTCACTAAACATGTTAGGACAGACTACTTGCAGTCTTCTGAATTTCTAAACTTTATTGTCTTACAAACTAAGAAGATTCAAACTGACAAAAAAGATGTTTTTGTAAGGATAAAAGAAGTGTTTGAGGAGCTAAAGGCTTACAAATTCAAAAAATCTGTAAAGAAACAAGATGAACAACAACTCTCATCTAGTTCCCATGGCAACATCCAGAATCCTTCCCATACCAGGGTACAGGAAATATCTAGAATTGTAGATACAAATTCTGACTCTTCTGATACAAAATTAAGTGAGGTGTCTGCTACAGGCTCAAAAGAAAAGGAAAGGCGAAAAGAAAAACATGTGAGGAAACTAGAAAAACTGTTAGAGGTACGTTTTAAAAAATTTGAATGTTTGTTTTTGTATAATTTTGCATGAAAATAGTACAGAGAATGCTAGATACGTTTTTGTGAGAAAAAAATTAAAGATTTGTTTAAGCAACTAAAAACACACACAAGTAGGTGTATATGTAAGACATCAGATTAGGTTTTTTGTTTTAATAAAGTGTTCCTAAAAATGTTTATACATAAAATGTGTTAAATGGACCACCTCAACACTTTGTAATAATAATTCCTTCATAGTTTTGTATGAAAAACAATCTTTAAAATTAGTCACATATCCAATGTCTTAAATTATGGTGATTTGTCCTCTGTCAATATCTGAACTTTCCATCTGTTCTTGTTATTTATTACCATATGTTGTTTTATTATCACCTTCACCTTTCTGTCTGTATCTTATAAGTAATATTCATAGGTACAAAGTTTTTTGGTATTGTTGTAAGCTATATTCTCAATGTTTTAATTTAGATATTTGCCAGAAGATGCATGACATTGATATTGAGAAAGTTCATGAAAATTAAGAGTTGAGAATCTTCTTGTAGTACGTAGATACAAGGGTATTGTACAAATTTGAATAGCCAGTGATGAATGAGCAGTTGACACGTACTTAAGGAGTAATCAATGAGTAATTCAGTTCAATATCAGAAAAATTATACAATGTTAATATTGGTAGTTATTGCATCTATTCTGCTATTCAGTTACTCAGTGAGTTAATTGTTTGTTTATTAAACAAAGCTAAATAAAATCGTAAATAATATTCAACGTTAAACTGGTACACAATTAAAAACATTTTATTTAGGCCTATCTATGGCTTTCAAAAAGTTGACGAATCTACATGTTTCAACATCCACTCCTGAGGATGATGTTGTAACATCGAAACATGTAGTCGTCAACTTTCTGAAGGCCTTAGATAAGCCTAAATAAAACGTCTGTAATAGAAATTGGTAAATGCAAAGATTAAACCATCAACACCTCTTTCTGCAGCTGCCTAAAAATTCCAACCTAAAACACCCTTTACCATAAAATATTGGTTAGGAGAATGTATTTGGTCAACACTACTGTTATGCCATTTTACTGCAGAACTCTCCTGGACTACTCAAGCCATGTCACTACCAAATCCAGTTTCAGAATTTAGCTGGCCAGTTCAACAGTGAACAGTGAATAACAAATTACTCATCTTGTTGCCCAGTTAAAAGTGTCAGCTTTGATGACTTATTTAATCTTTAAATTGAGAGCCATAACAACTGTCAAACATTAGTGACTACTACCTTATCCAACAGGTTTGGAGTGACACACCAGAAGAAAGTAGCCACAGTAAAGTTCTAATACAGTTATGGAGGAAATAAGAGCCTTTAGCTGAACTGGATTTGGGAAAGCTTGCCAAATTATCTTACCTGGATGCCCCATCTAAAGTGATGGATTTTTTGGCACATGACCAACTTTTAGATGCCATAACAAACAAGGATATGAAAATTAGGTTTCAGCAAAATAGATGTACATGTTTAAGAAAGCTCTCGATCTTGAATCTATTAAAGTACTGAAACATCAACTTCCCCTGATGATAATTCTAGAAGAATTGAAAATATTAGTTAGACAGCTATTTACACAAAATGGAGGAACCACAAGACAATTGATGTTTCATGTGTAACTTGAAGGGACATATTGCCAGGTACTGCAGACAAAAGCTTGTAGGGAATAACTCTTTCCAAAGGATGTTGGTAAAAGGTAAATGCTATAAATTTGGGAAGCATGGCCATTAAAGCTGAGACTGTATGAATCAACAGCTGTTAATACACCAAGGAGACTAAGGATTGGTCTTCTAAGTCCAACCGAATCAAAGGAAGAACAAAGAAGTAATCATACATAAAACAGGAATTAGCTTGATTTATGGGTTGAATTTCAGTTGAGAATACTTCGTTTTTCCTAAGTAAGACAAGGAGTTTATTATTTTGATGAAAGCAGTCCACAAGTCCATAGGTTTATTGATGTAAAACCTTGTAATATATAGATCAACACAGGCTCTACAGTGACAGTAGTTTGGCCTTATTTGGTAAGGAAAGGTGGGAAAACACCTGCAATGACGAAAAAAGAAGAGGGATTGATGCAAACAATTAGAGAACATGAAGTTCCAGTAAGAAAGTTAGAAGAAGCTTTTTTATACTTCATGATGTGTGGCTAACTGGCATTGAGTAAGAGTGAATATTGGGAACTGATGTAATATATAGATGCATGTGTGAGATTAGGGTATCTTCAAATAGCTTCACAGTCTGTGACCAAAAAATCCATGTGCACTACATGGCACTTACATCACAAAACATTGAACTTCCAGTGATAACAAGGAAAGCAGCTATTCTCCCACTAAGAGGTGAAGTACTCGTGCCAGAACTTAGAAAGAATGAATATGCATTTAGTAATTGGGGCAGAGTGGAATCAAACACTCCGCCATGTCCTAAGAGAATGGTAGTTGGAAGAACTCTTGTGATTCTGAAGAACAAAGATGCCACACCAGACTACCCAGGAAAGACTTAAATCAGCCAGTGATAAAATGAAAGTTGCTGTGATGTTAATTCTGGACTGGATTCCATAGAAGTGACATTGTTTAACTATAAAATCCAAGTCACAAAAAAATGACAAACTCCACAGTTAAGCAGGTGTTGAGAAGGGCTATTTGTTTTGCTGAAAAGAATCAGTGATGTAAGGACAGACAGTCCAAGTCAAAGGTCAATTCACTATGGTCATCTTTGGAAATAAGTCTGTGACTAAACAGCTAACTATGTAATTTCAGAGAATAAGTTGCCTGTGGAAAAGCCCAGGATTCCTGTTGAAACCACTTTAAGTGAATAACCAATGATAGAGCCACCAGTGGATTTGCTTGACCACTTACCAAAGGAGAACCCCTCCAGTGACAAGACAGCAAAGGACAAGAGGCCATCCCAACTGTATATCATAACCCTTGAAAAAGAAAATCACCTAAATTATCCGGTGAATGGACAGTTCAGTGTACTGTTTTATTCATGTATTAGAATTGTTCCAAGAAGGGGGCAGCATTGTGAGCTATATTTTCAATGTTTTAATTTACAATGTTGCTTGAAGGTACATGGTTAAGATCAAGAAAGTCCATGAAAGTTAAGAATCAAGAATCGTCATGGAATATGTAGCAACAATGGTATGACATAAGTACAAGTAATCAGTTAATCAGTACTAAACAAGAGTTCAGTGTCAGTCAATGAATGAGCATTTATTGAGTAATCAACAAGTAAAGTCAGTTCAGTGGGAAGAGGGTTATTGCATCTATTCTGCTATTCTACTCAGTGAATTATATGTTTGTTTATCGATCAAAGCTAAATAATTTAAGCATAGGTACTGTTAATCTCAAAATTTATGTTGAAATGTTGTATTTGAAGTTAGACCTACAAGTGAATGTAGCTATAGCAAATGTGTATTGAAGAAATAAACTGATTTATTATCACAGCATGGGCTGAATTTGATGTTATTTTTACAAAATAATTCAAGAAGTAATTCCCATTGTTTGGTTTTGACATATAGTCCCTTACTCACTACTAATAAACTAAAAGGATAAGCTATGAATTCAGCAAAGCTAGTCTGTTGCAGCAGAAGTTGCAAATCAAAGAATGTATTAGGTCTCTAATCTATCTTTGCTGAAGTATATAAGTAGAAAGAAAGTAAGTATAGTATAGAAGCTACTTTTTTCAAAAGAAAATTTAATCAAAACCAAAAACTACACAAAAAATCAAGTTGAAATTTGTGCACAAAAGGAGTTCGGGAGTTGAAACTTTATAATTTTGGTGATAGTAGAGATCCTAATCTCTCATAATGTTATTGAAAATGTTTTGAATGAAGTAAGAACTTTTCTCAGCATTTAATATAATGTCAGATTTTGTGATATTTGTCCATAAAATGTTTACAAAATTCATAAAGTAACTTTGATGTATTTAATAGAACATGTTAAAAGAAACTGTTATTTTATACTGAATGATGAATTATGTTATTAACAGAGATGAAAGTCTTCCGGATATATCCGGAAATCCGGATATTTCTAAAAAATCCTGAAAACCTCCGGTTTTCTTCCGGAGAAACACATTTTTTAAAATTATTTATCGGATTTTGGTGTTCCATGCCATAGATAAGCGTTTATGCAATCGCGCGGTTTGTTTACATTCGTTGACAGGGCGCCGCCATTTTGTAGTCTCGC